TGGCAACCAATCTTAATTAGTTTAGCTTAAAGCATTTGCCGAAAAAACCGATTCCGATAGTGACAAAAATTGCGTGGAACTCTGCAAAAAACGCATCTTCGCACGGGCAACCCGTGCGTTGGCCAATTTTTGTAGCTTAGGGGGAACGTTTTTCAACCAAGAAGAGCAAATACAAACGTATATGAATATTATAAGAAAACTGGCATTATTGCCGGTTGGTCAATTCCTCCTTCATCGATTGCGGCTTTAACCATTTGCTAAACGTCTTCCCCGTCAGACGCCTTCCCTTGTTTGTTCTTTCTAGGATTATAATCCTATTTAGTCTGCAATAAATCATTTCTTCGTGAGGAGTTAAAAAAAGGAGCCTCAGCTCTGCCGACAGGTGATTATAAAAGACGTAGTTGGATAAACGATGGATCCGGCATTCATTCTGAGCCAGGTGGTGGCAATAACTATAGATGTCATTGATCGACTTTAACATGGACAAATTACTGTTTTCAATCTGCCAAGCACATTGGAAGGCTAAAGTTTTGAGAGTCTCCTATTTGGCTTTGTATTACCCAGGATCACTTGAGTCGGCTTTTCTTTATCTCGGGCTTTGGCTTCAGGAAAAGAAGGGCACCGTTTGACATCCGCCTTCAAAGCCACCGATGTCTTTCTATTTCGAGAAATGCTTAGCAGCAATTTGATGGCTTGCTCCGGTACCAATTTTCCTTCAGCGTGCAGTCGCGAGCCCTTCACTTTTGGTACGAGAATAGCGCTCGTTTGAAAACTTTAAAATTTCAATTTGCAGTTGGAATGGCGCTGCAGCAGTTCGCCAATAGTACAAGTAACAGGCGACGCTACGCGCCATCGCGTCGGCCATTTCGTGCCAGCGTTCAAAATAGCAACAATTACACGCGCACTGTAAAATATATTGCTTTCTCGAATCCCTCTTCAGGTAAGTGCTGACTTTTTCTTTGAAAATTAATTTTCGACTGTTTGTGCCGCTAAAAACTTAAAATCAGCATCAAAAATGAATTGCAAGTTTTTGTGCAGTTAAATGAACATCTTTTTTTTTGAATTTTGTTGATTTCGGCATTTTTCAGAGACGCTGAAGGTGTGTTCACCAGGACAAGTGTATATCAGTGAGGCAGGCAGCTGCGTGGCAAGTAAGCAACTTGTAATTTAATAAACTCATTAGAATAATTAAGAAATGTGGGTATCCCTTGTCAGTTATGTTAGTGGAATGCTTCCACAGCCAAGCACAGCTGTTCAGACTCTTTATGCAAAATAGATGAGCTAAATTTATTCGTTCGTATCAGATGATTTGCTCTGTTTCATGCTAATTTGCATATCATGATTCGATTTGGATGATTTGAAATTCTCCTGAAATTTGTGGCATGCTGATGTAAATCTAATATGAATGAGTTCTGATAATTTGGAAGTCTCTTTTTGGAAGAAAAAAGAAAGCAAAATTTCTTACTTCCCACTTTTTTCCAACTGAATTTGCTACTTTTGACTCCATAAATTTTACTGGGCTGCAGTAAAATTGTTTCAGCACGTCAGCCGGGTGAGTGGTGTCAGTATTCGCAGCAGTGTGATGCGGTCGAGCTCGGATCACTGTGCCAGAATGAGCGATGTCAGTGCGCACCGGGAATGCTTCGAAATGGACATTCTTGCTCGTTTGTGGATCGTAAATGTGTGATACGTGGATACGTGTGGATTCCCGAGATTGGCGAATGCTTGCAAGGTACCCTAATTTTATATCCGTTTTACTTCGATACTTTAGTCAGACACATTTCGTAGCGTCTCGTTTCCCCAACATCAGTGAGCTACAGTAGTGCTCCAGTTATGCAGCTAGCAACTTTTTCAGTTGCTTTGACCAACTGCTATCTTGTCCGGTTAGCAACTTGTTTGGCAATTCTGACTTTCTTTTCAATTCCTGGATGAATTACTAGCTCAGCATTTCTCTTGACACAAGCACTTGTCTCATCAGGTACTGTCATTTTTTGGTCACCCTATAGTTTACTTTTGGGGAACAGTGAAGTCAGTTTTTTCAAAAAAGTAGCAGAAAAATCTCTGATTGTCAAAAGTAACGCTTCTTTACAGGTCTTGAAAAATTTTAATGATAATTCACAGTAATGTGGAAA